CGCTTGCACTCTCAGGTTTGCACTCTCACGCTTGCACTCTCAGACTCGCGCTTGCACTCTCAGGTTTGCACTCTCGCGCTTGCACTCTCAAACTTGCACTCTCAGGCTTGCACTCTCGCACTTACACTCTCAGGCTTGCACTCTCAGACACTTGCACTCTCAGTCTTGCACTCCCGCTAGCGACGTCACTTGCAGTCTTTATTTTTTTTATTTTGTACTATTTTATTATTATTTTAGTTTGAATCTCTCAACATTTTACAACAGTAGCCAGGTGGTGAAGACAAGAAAAAAGAAACTAAATTACGAAGTCACTTGCAATCATCACTTGCACTCTCCGATACCTGCGACGTCACTTGCAATCGACACAAATCGTGCATGTTGCTAATGGAGACAAGACGCTGTGGTGGTGATTAAACGATTAAAACTAATTTAGTACTATAACATACAGGGTCCTGCAAGAAAAAGACAAGACCCGCAAATCCGTGGTCACATCCGTGGCAAGCGCGAGAGTGCAAGCCTGAGAGTGCAAGCGCGAGAGTGCAAGCGCGAGACTGCAAGTCTGAGAGTGCAAGCGCGAGACTGCAAGTCTGAGAGTGCAAGTCTGAGAGTGCAAGCGCCAGGCTGCAGCCAGATCCTTCTCAAATAGTTGGAAGTTTCTTCATGACCACTCACTCTGCTTGATCTTTAAAAATGGCTAACATTAATTTAGTGATAAAATTGTACATCCTTATGGAAATATGATAATATTTTGTAATTATCAATTAAATCTGATTCATTTTCAAATTGTTTGTCATAAATCCACATCTCAGGAAAATGTCATGGGGGTTCAAACCAAAATATGACTTCCTGTTATGAAACAGGACATAATTTCATACATGTCCACTGTAGAGGACACCAGGACTAAAAGCATGTTTATTGTGCATTTTTGGGAGATACAACAAATGAATGGGAAAATAAATTAATCTTATGAAATATTAGATATTATTATGAAAATTTGGCCAATTATTACTCCCATTATTACACTGCTTTTTTCAACATGCTGTCCCAACAGCACATTAATATGCAAATTAGGTACAGTGTATAGATAACATTGTGTTTAATGGGAAAACCAGTTTATGGCAATTTTACACACATATTGCATAAAATAAAATGGTATATCAAATCATTTTGTTATATCTTTTATAACATAGTTGAGAATCATCCTTATACAAAGTTTGGTATAAACAAATCCTGAAACCTATGAATTGATTGGTGATTTTTTAAAAATCCCATAGTTTTTGCCTTTTCGTGTCTATGTCATTTTATTTTTGAGAAAAACTGAGTCCTGGTGTCCTCTACAGAGAGCATAGCATAAATGTTCAATCAAAAATTTTATTTTTCAATTTTTTTTGCTTATGCTCTAAACCAGGGCTCCTCAAATCTTGCCCTGGAGGGCCAATGCACTGCAGAGTTTAGCTCCAACCCTGATCAAACTCAGCTACCTGTGATTTTCTAATGATCCTGAAGACATTGATTAGCTTGCTCAGGTGTGTTTGATTAGGGTTAGAGCTAAACTCTGCAGGAAAGTGGATCTCGTGGGCCAGATTTGAGGATCCCTGGTCTAAACAATGTAATGACATGAAAAAAAATACTATATTCACCAAGCTTTTTTCTGGTTCTCAGGTGGATATAAAAGAGCAGCACATAATAGACCTCAAGACTCATGTGAATAAGAAGTGTGCCTGATTGTGCTGAATGGGCACTTAAATCACTATACTTGCAGATAATATAGAACTGAAATAAAAGGCCATTTAAGAGAGTTCATTTTCAGTTTTTTAAAAGTGTCCTTTGTAATAATGTCAAATTCAAAGTTTTACATTTTGAATCATAGTTTTAATAATCTTTTCTCGTGCTTCAAAGAAGTACTTGATTATCATTTTTAACTGTAGTGTTATATAACTTTACATTTAATGTTAATATATTTCAAAAGTCCTGTAACCCTATAAGCAGTTTGGAGAATGGATGGATATTTTAAATACTTATATTGGTTTCAATAGAAATGACATTAAAGCATATTTTAGTTTATTATAAATGTTTGTCAGTGCATTCACCCTTACACTTTAACCATATTTCCACAGACAATAGTAATTATGAAATTGCGTATAAAGATGAAAGAGGACTACTTCAGTGGGTCAAAAAACACTCTAAAGTTCAGTTAATTGCATGCAATATAAATTGTAAACTATAATACATTTTCATTTAATTAACATGCAGTTAAGAGTCAGAAAACACTACATTCAGTTTGCACTTAAGTATTTTCTTTTAAAGGATTATTTTCCATAAATAGAACTCTTTTTTTTTTTTTTTAAATGACCTGAGAGTGCAAGCGCGAGAGTGCAAGCCTGAGAGTGCAAGCGCGAGAGTGCAAGCCTGAGAGTGCAAGCGCGAGAGTGCAAGCCTGAGAGTGCAAGCGCGAGAGTGCAAGCCTGAGAGTGCAAGCGCGAGAGTGCAAGCCTGAGAGTGCAAGCGCGAGAGTGCAAGCCTGAGAGTGCAAGCGCGAGAGTGCAAGCCTGAGAGTGCAAGCGCGAGAGTGCAAGCCTGAGAGTGCAAGCGCGAGAGTGCAAGCCTGAGAGTGCAAGCGCGAGAGTGCAAGCCTGAGAGTGCAAGCGCGAGAGTGCAAGCCTGAGAGT